CTCAGAAGATGATTTATTTTTTCAATGTAAAAAAAAAAACAATTTAAAACAACAATACTGCACTTAAATCCGTTATAACATTTGTTTACTGAGTGGATCAATGCAGAAAATAGAAAGCTGTTCTTTGGCTTGAATTAACCAATTAGTAAAATACACCTTATGCAATATTATTTTATTGTTCTTAATTTAAACAGTCAGAAAGTTTCATTTTTCCCCATCAAATGTCAGATTGGATTGCTCTTCTGCAATGATCACTCTATGCCAAGACAACAGCTGACCTGACTCCTATACATGGCCATGGGAAGTGGGGATGCTGGCGGTGCTGCAGCACCCCTAGTGGTGAAAGGGAGATTAAATAAAATGTATTAAAAATACTTTGCACAATTGATAAAATACTTATGAATATTTTTGAAAATTATTTTGATATTTTGTATTTCACTGTTACGTGAATTTGGATTTGAATTAGAGTATTTTGAGCCCTAATCAACACAAATTCATGGAAGTTACGTTGTCATGGCAACGTCAAGCAAGGAAGAGCATAGTATTCAGCTCGCGGCAGCGGACTAGTAAATTTACATAGTCTAATGCAGAAACATGAGGTAGAAATATGGCACTGTAATGCATTTCGGATTTGTCCACTTATGAGAGACTTTATCTCCACAGCCTCAGAGCGCACCTGAACATTTGGACACCTGTAACCAGGCAGGGCATCCTACCTGTAGCTCAAAGTGAGAGCATGGTGCCGCTGCTCACTTTCATATCTATTTATACAGTTTAAGGTAACATGGTATTTTATAGTGTTATTTTGATCTTGTGTTCTTTGTATAATGGATGTGGAGAACAGTCCAATGATGTTGGACTTAAAAACAAAGTGTTCAGGTTCATGCCAGATGACCAAATCTAAATTGTTATAGTGTTACAGGGCTTGGTCGTCATGACGTAAGCACTTTGCGTCGCCGCCATCTTGAATGCCTCTTTTACCGCTGCTCAGACTACTACCTATGACTACCGCATACTGTACTCCCTCTCAGCCGTGTTTTAATTTGATTAATTTCACCTTAACTTGATTTCAACCATGGTAAACCGTTGCTGTATTGTGGGCTGTAACAGCGCAACACATGATCGCCATGGGAACAACATAGAAAATGGGTTAACTTTCCACCGCTTTCCTGCCTGGAGGCGTAACCATGGAGACCAAGCGTCAGAGATAAATAGTCGTCGGCTAGCTTGGATCGCGGCTGTAAGACGACCGAACATAACTTTCCACAGTATTCCAATGTCATTGAGAGTGTGTTCCCTGCATTTTCATTCAGGTAAGTTAAAGATGCACAGTTTTATTTTATTGCCTACATTGTTTCTTTCCTTCAAAGTTGGGAAAATAATAAAATCGGCAGCAGGAAAAGGCTCAAATACGTGAGAAACCTGGAGGGTTTAGGAAGGGTTGGCAGTTAACGTTACTAACTATACCTTTGAAACACATAGCAGCTAGTTAAAAGTACATTACATACATGAGTGGTTGTTAGCACTAACGGTTAGCAGTTACTAAACTAGCAGGTTCCAGAGCCCGTCCAAGCACAGCTTACCTTTGTACAGATTACTGTGTTCCCACTGTTTGCTGGCTTTATGATCTGCAGCTCCTGAACCCATCCATTCATGAACTGCACATGAGACTCCAAGGACTTGTAGCTTGGGAACTGTTTTGAAGTATAGGCGCTCACTCATCGGTGCTCCACTCATTGTTTGGAACTTCATATGGATCCAAATTATTAATAATGCTGATTTTGTCAACATACCGGTCCGTGGCTTCTCTATTTAATGTGTCCCGGTAAATTCAAGATCCTTTTTGGGATTTTAACATCTTTTTTCTCTCTACTTCTATGTCTCTTCTTTCAACAACAACAACGTTGTATCAGAGCTATTTTTACGTTCGTGTAGCCCTCAATATGGCCGCCACGTCCCACAATGCAACGCAGATCCCAAGCCCTATTGTGAAGTTTAATTAATAGCACATATATTCACCGGAGAACTGATGATGTCTGTGTTACAGACCCTGGTTGCGTGCAATAATTGTATATGACTATAAAGCATGGGTGTAGGTTTGCATAGCGACCATAGGGATCTTTCCCTGCCAACATTTTGAACAGACCTACTTGTCCCTGAATAACATGATTAAAATTTAAAATTAAGCAGTTTTGCAGCAGTTGCTTCTTTTCCTCTCGCAGCTTCGCTGCCTGGTAGCTGCTGCTGCTGCGTCTGACTTCCTGCCCGGTCTCTCCTGTCCCTTTAACTTAGCAGCGCATGTAACTGTGCTGCACTGTTTGCCTTAAGTTCTGCCTTATCCCTTCCTGATTAGCTATTTTCTAATGTGTGCATGTGAGTGCGTGTTTGGAGCTCAAAATTTAGATTGTATTCACATTAGAATACTGCGGTTACTACAATTAATATTAGGCTGTGAAACTAGTCCCAAATATTAAAAAAAACATTATATTCGCTAAAACTGGAGAAAGTTGCTGATTGCCGTTCTGTAAAGAAGCAGGAGAGAGAGGTTTGATTTGTGGAACTTGAGAAATGTAAGTAACCAATGAACTATAATACATTTTATCAACAAAAACCTTATTTTTTCTTTATAAAACTTAATAGTCTGAGTCAGACAGGAGTTCTGCAGACTGCTGGGAAAATGGACAATCAAAGACTGTAAGCTATCAAACAGTCTGATTCTTAGCTACTGGAAAAGAAAATGTTTCCTTTTTATCAATAGTTCTTTGCTATTACTCTTTTCATTATTTGATGACCCTTTGAGGCCGTGCAGGCATAAGAACCACTAAATGTAGCAAGAAATACAGATTTTTTTTTTCTTTGAGCAAAATGCTCTCCGGTGCTCATGTCAAGTATAAAAAAAGCAGCGTTACCACTACCTGATCGTCCCGGAGGCATGATCCGTCCTGTGCATGCACATCCAGATATACATCATGGTCGGCCTCGATTTTATTTTGTTAAAAAGACTTAAATGATGTTTTTCTCTCACCAAAAATTGTAAGCATACTAACGTGTTAAAGGTTAATAATGTAATTCTTGAGTAATTCCGGACATCCGACCACTCAAACTTAAGACCAATAGCGTCCCTACCAAAGTTGAAATCAAACCTAAACCCTTGCAAAGTAGTGAATCTCAGTTTATTTAATTATATATTTTTATTGTAATTTAAATAGGCCTATAGGCTCATAAGTCTTTTATCCAAAAAAAAACAAACAAAAGTGTTCAAAAGTACTTCCAGCAGCCCTGCCTATGGTTCTACATTCCTAATGCGTGAATTCAACTAATGGTCCATCCAGGAGCGGATTTAGGAAATGTTGGGCCCTTGGCAAAGACAGGCACGGGGGCCTCTGAATTGAGAAGACAACAAATAAAACAGGATCATTTTACAGACATAGAAAAGTTAATAGAATAGACGTCCATTATCTGTTCTAGGTTTTGTCCCTTTTTTCTCGTCCATTTTCTTCTTGTTTTCCCATCTGTTTTGTACTCAGATGACTTTTCATGCTGTCTCACAAGAATTAATAGATTTTTTCCAATTACTAAGCCTATTCTAACTTCGCTGATTGCTCCTTCCTGTGTTTCCAAAAAGGCAACGGCAAAGTAAATAACCCAGTCCTTCTTTTCACTGTAGACAAGCCATGATCTGCTTATCTGTTCTCCATTTTTCATTTGGATGAAATAATATCTGCATGAATCATGACAGCAGACAAGATAGAGGAGAGCAGGAGGCGGGGTTACCAATCTACTCGCTCTGGAGAGCAGAGTTCGCTGCTTTTAGATGTTGTCGCCAAAGTCTCCAGTAGCAGAAAAAAAGCAGTAGAATTGGCGCTAGGTGCTTTTTTGAAATCAAAGTGCTAGAGGGGTCTGAAAAGTCAATAAATATAGCAACTAAAGCGCAAACTTGGCAACACTGTTCTTCGTATTGTTTGTTTTCAAATGGTTTGCTGCTGTCTGGACCTTTCTGAACATGTGCAGCAAAAAGACTGATCCAATATGGTGGCGTTCTGATGACATAGGGGTAACCAGGAACTCGGGGCCCTAGGCAACTGCCTTGCATTGGTAAATCCCCCCTTAGGTCCATCAGCAACTAGCAGAGTAGAATAAGTTCTCTGACTCTGATTGGGGAGGAAAATCAAGTCAACTTGCTGAAAGAAGCCAGTGAATAAAAACAAACTGCAACATGATCATGCATCACAAAGCAAATAAACACTTTTCTTACTGCTTTCCTCCAGAACTGAGCCAAAACCAAAAGTGTATGAAGTTATTTTGATCAGAGGGACAGACTGAGCTCAGCAGAGGGAGCTTTTTAAAATATTAACATTTTATGCTTTGGTTGAATTCAACAAAATCCTTTTTTTTCTTTTTTGGAATATTAATATCAAAGATGAAAGCTTTTAAAACATGTGGAATATGAATGTAACCCTCATCACATCAGCAAGGTCGTGTGCCAGAAAGCAAAAAAAAACAAAAAACCTCCATCCAAACAAACAAATGAGAGGAAGCTGATCTGTTTACATCCACTTCTTCTTCCCTGGATCTTCTCTCATTCTAACATTCCTTCCTATTGTTTATTTCTCCAGCTGATGCTCAGACTGACAGTCTAACCGCAGCGCCAGTGACAGGTGATCTCTTCCTCTGCATTCACCCTGATCGAGGCTCCCACGCACACGAGTGGGCTCCGATCCGCTCGGCATAAGAAGCGCGCGCGCACAGCCCGGACTGCCGTGCCAAGAAGAAATAAATAGATAAAAATCAGTGGTTGGTGTGAGATGCTGGAAATAACCTGCGTTTATTCCAGGACTTCAAAGCGCCGCTTCAGACTCAGGGAAGCCCAGAAATAAAAACACAGAAAGACAACGAGTTGAGAAAAACTGAACTCCAGCTGTTCTCCGTCAGATGTAGGAGTTAAAAGTGAAATAAAAACAGTGACAACTGAAAGCAAGAGGAGAAGATGCGCTCCTTACCTCCTGCTGAGACGCTGCTCCACAGCAGCCACATCCACAGAACCGCAGGGAAGGAGCCGCGCAGTGGGAGCGAGCGAGCGGCCGGAGGCATCGCGAAACAAACCGGACCGGAGTAGAGCAGCGAGGCGGGGAGAGGAAGGAGAAAAAGCACACTGTGTCTGCGGTCAGGCTTTCAGGGAGAGCCGCTGGCGTCAGACTAGGTCCGCATGTCACAGCAGCATCTTCCTGACTGCAAGCAGCACCTCCTGCTTTCTGCCTCCCATCTGTCCTCCCCTGCTGTCCTCTCTCACATTCTCAGTCATAAGCCTCCCTCCCTCCCTCTCCCGCTCACACAGACAGTCACACACAATGTGACCCTAATGATAATGAAACTTTGTTTTACAGTGTGTGTGAGTCAGGCTGCAGTGAAGGCACCCTTATATAAGATAGAAATGGTGTGAAGATCTGCAAGAGGGATGAGGGGATGGATGGGTTGAGTTGGGAGCTTTTCTCATCCTAAGCTGGTAATCTTTTTGAGTAGGCTGGTTATATTTCACTGTGGGATTCCACTGCAGACACTTTAATATTGGAAAGACTGAATATCCTGCAGGTTCATTTATACTGAGCGCAAGGAGCAGGGCCGGCTGGAGGTATAAGCGAACTTAAAGGACTCAGAGAATGGTTATATAGGGCAGAGTTCTTCAACAGAGGGTCCACGACCCCTAGGGGTTCCACAGAGGTACTGCATGGAGGTTTTGAAAGTTTTGGTTTGATGAGACTTTTTTTATTACATTTCCACTAATTGAAATGTCTTTAAATCCACATTAACATTTGAAAACACTGTAGTAAACAGATAAATGGAGGCAGAAGATGGACAGGAGCTCTTTTTCAAGCTGGGCACCGTTTCATCCATAACACCTGCCCCATCAATGAGGAATCAGAATCAGAAATACTTTAATAATTCCAGGGTGAAATTACTTTCGTTACATGACTCCATCTGTAATAGAGTGACTATAGGACCAGTTTGATAGAACACAATTTCATACAATATATATATAATTAGGGGGTCCCCGCTTCATCTCGCCATCATTTTGGGGTCTGTAGGAGCCATTTATAGTTGTTGGTGTTTAGGTATGGTTTGTTTCTGGGTTATTTGTTTTAGGTGGTGGTGACCTTATTTCTGCTCTACCACTGGTGGCAGTGTGGAGGGGAAGGCTTTATAGGTAAGACATGAGAGTGTCATGATCTTGGCGCTGATGGTTTGGTTTTTTCCGTTGCTCCTTGCTCCCTGCCTAATTGGTTCTGCGGCTGATTATCGCCGATCATTTCCACCTGGTTCCTCTACTATTTAAGTTGTGTGCTTGCCTCCCATCAGTGCCAGGTTATTCGTGTGTTTTTGTGATACGTTCCCTAGCTTTCTGTAGTCTGCCTGTTTTCCTGATAGTGACCAGTTTTCTGTCCAGAGGATTTCGAGTTTTTGCCTTGCCCCTGTCTGCTCTGTTTGTCCGGTCTGATCCTGGATTCTACCGGCTTCTGAACCTGGAACTGTCTTCTGACTTCGGCCTTGGATTTCCCTTCTGGACTCTGTTGCTGCTCGGCGTCTGCTGCTCGCTCTCTAGGAACTCTGGGGGCGTCGCCCGCCGCAACTGCGGTCAAACCTCCGCGAACGGACTGAACTTTGAATCAGGTCAGTGACTTTGCTCCAAGTCGCATTCAGCTCCACATCCAGTCACTGACCTGTATTCTACCATTTCTGCAGAGATCCGTCCCGCAGCAGACGAGCAGCCCCGCGCACATGTCTGTTGATAAACGCTTCAAACTTTCCCACTGCCTGTCTCGCTTCGAATTCTGGGTCCTACATTCTGAGATCATTACAGAGAGGGCAGAAAGGGTTTTGGGTGACGGGAGGTCATACGGTTTTTACCGCTTTCTTTGGCACACAATAGCCTGCGTCCTCTGGTTAAATTCTGTTATATTCACATTCTCCATAATTACCTGTCCATCTCAGTTGTTGTAAAGACCGCCACTCGGATTGTTTGGAAAGTTTGTTCATATACAAACGTACTTCAATAAATGGGAACGCCCATACCTTATATCCTGGTTTCGACATCCTCTTTTAAGCGCGTTAAATTCCAGATTCCCTGGAACCACAAGCGACAAAAGGGTGGTTGATAGTCGCTACAGGGTGCTTGGCCTGAAAAGCGTTGAAGACTCCTGGTATAGGGTATTTGGTGCTGGTCCATTACGGTCTCTGAAGAGGGTGAGTAACATTGGTTGGGCTGAAAATGGCATATTTGCTGTTCTATGAGCCCTAATGCAAGCCTGGTTATAAGCCCTAGAATGAAACGACAGGTTTTCTTCCATTTATGGTATGCTCATGAATATTTAGATGAGCTGTGAGCTGATTGGTTGGTTTACAACCAATGAAGCTGCTGAGTAAAGATGCGTCATAGCAACAAGCACTCACTCACTGAAACAACAGATTGTTGATATGGTAGAGTGACCAGACGTCCTCTTTTTCCCAGACATGTCCTACTTTTCATACCTGAAAAAATGTCAGGGGTGAATTTCAAAATCCCTCGGGATTTTGGTCGACTGCAGTGCAGCATGTAGTCGAAACACACCGGGCATCGAACCGAGCCGGCGGGGGATGGAGCGGCCGACCCGATGACGGTAGCCTGGACACAAGCGGCCTGGTGCTTCCCTCTGCCAGCCTTACTGGCCCCCCACCCCCTTCGGCTCATGGCTCTCTGCTGAGGTCTGGTCCAGTCAGCGGCCCAGCAGTCAAGACTTGATAACCCCCCACCCCTTGGGCAACTGGCCCCAGTGGTCTGGTCTGTATGTCAATTTCAGGGCGTGACAGAAGTACAGGTCAGAACCAAATAAGGCAACATCCCCGAGTTTATGTCAACTCCGGGCTTTGTTTAGATTTGCCCGTTTTATTGTGGAAGTTTAGAATTGTGAGACTTGCAGAGAAAGGAGATGTTGATGGGGTTTAACCTTCTCTGTACATCCATTTCACCCACTGAACTATCGTTATTCATCTATGACAATGGAAACTCGGTTCTGCATTCTGTGACCCCTTTAAGGGCTGGTTATACTCCCGCAGCAGTGTGTCTCACTGAGCTTTTTGACGATATTTTTTATTTATGCCCAATTTTGAGGCGTGGTCTGCAAGGGCGTAGGTTTGATTTCCACTTCAGGAGGGACACTATTGGTCCTAAGTTTCATCATCATAATTTTACCTACGCAAAAATATGCATGGTTTTTTTATGCTTGACGAAAGGATCAGGGTGGATTTCATTTAAAGAGAACCGCAGCATTTCTTGCTACATTTATACAAATCTTATAAGCACTACACACACTAGAGGTTGTTTATCAATGTTCGACGCATCACCGGCCCTGATGGATGTGGAATTAGGACATTTTTCCACTTTGAAAGGTGTCTTTGTCAGTTCTAGCGGTTCATACAAAATCAATCTGTAGTTGGAGTATTGATTCTTATTTAAGCAGCATGGAGGTCCACCCTCCTAAGAATATTCCTAGTCAGATGTAAATCAAAAATCCACCCCTTGTTCTTATGGGTCTTTTGATGTGCATGGGCAATTTGATTGGCCTTTTGATTCATCATGATGGGAGTGCTTCGATAATTCCATGACTGAATTGTAGATCCTCTGTTCAAAAATACAAAACAATTTGAAAACTGAGCAAAAGTCTGGTCGCCTTTCGACATAAGCCTGTTTTATGATCATCCTCTATACCAGGGGTAACCACTTAAAAAATCAGTGGGGTTCAAATAAAGAAAATCATCAACCAGTAAAGGTTGGAGACATTTTTAATGATCTGTTACTTTAAAACAGAATTTGACACTGAAATAAAATTAGGTGTTTATGCATTCATGTTATACGTTGAACTAAAAAAAAAAAGAATTAATAAAAAAAGAACATATTTCCATTAAAAAATGTTAAGTGTTTTTCGAAGCAGAGAAGAACAATAATTCAGTTTAGTTTATAGACAATTTCCTGATTCACATATTTTATAAAACACCTGATCTGACTGTTATTTGTTTTCTTTCTTTTTTCTTTCTTAATGAGAGCAGTGGTCTTTATGCTGCCCTGCAAGTTTTTAAACCTGGGTTTGAATGGAGACAAAGCCATTCTAAAGCACATATCAAGGAGCTCATTCTGAGCCTGGATCCATATTTATTGTTGATTCTGTTCATGGTGGAGAATCCTGCTTCACAGCAGCAGATTGAGCCAAACATCCTCTAAATGTGCAGGGTCATCTTTGAGCACCATTTCACTTTTCTTTCACCAGTTCACCACAGTTCTTCCAGCAGTCCACACTTTCTCTGCTCTCTTTTTCTCATCATCTTCTCCTTCTTTCCCATCGCCCGGCTTGCCACAGGTTTGCCTGCTGTGTCTAAAAGTAGCAGCAGCAGGAACCCAGGCTGACAGCAGCTCATTGGATCATTTAGATCACTTGTAGCCTGGTGCAGGATGCTACGGAGGGCTTTACCGTATTAACAGGAGAAGCAGCGCAAGTAAAATTAGACACTGTCATCAGACAACATGAGGTAATTTCTAAATGTTTTAAATCTGGTTGGGTCCGGATTAGCCAGCAGGTGGGTCAGATTCTGCATTGCCGTCCGCTAATCCATAACCTCTGCTATACCTTTAATTTATTAAGGTTCCGCATAGTATTACAATGCATTAATGAAAACATTAAACAGGTGTAGTTGTTGTCTATCTGTAATCATACAGGATCTCCGAGATGACTTACACAAACACAACCCTTTTATCTGGAGAGGGGGAGGGGGGTGTCATTGCCAGCCCTTGCCCCCCATCTAGCTGCACCCTGCTGAGGAGCATAGAGTATCATGCTGCATGGCTTTTGACATCAAAATACACTCTCAGCACTCTCATTTGAAATAAAAAAAAGACTGTGCTCAGAGTTCAGCAATATATGTATTTTTTTTCTAATGTTTTTGTACCTATGCTAGCTTTTTTATTGCACTCAAAGTGGTCAAAAGAAATAGAAACAGAAACTATACATTTATTATAGATGTGTTGGCACTTAGGCAGCAAAATAAGATGTAGTTTCTGTGTTGCTTAGTAACTACACTTGTTTTAAAATACAATAGTTGAATTATTAATTATAACAATAAGAAAAAAGAAGAAGCATCAAATCATCCACATGGGGAAAACAAAGGAAGTGCTGGTTTACCTCCACAAGGGTCTTAAGTAACAACGGTAAACATCTAAGGAACTGATGTTGGACTCCTGTAAGTATATGGGTTTTCAC